ATTTAACTTCTTTCTGTTCCCAGTGAAGATTGACCTGATGAAAGGGTTTAATTTTGAGGACAGGAACAGTCTCATTTCTGCTGTCAGAGAGAAGCTTAATCAACGAAACAGAACTCAATTTTTGGCATGCTTTGATCCTTGGATTCATGCTTTGATCCTTGGATTTATACCATGAAAACAATTATTGAAATTGGTGATAAGTATGTTGAATAACAGTGTGAGGAAACGGTCTTTTACATAAAGGTGAGCTAAACAAATTTCAAGAGAGGCTTGAATTTAAAGAAAACGAAATTGAATGAAAATGCGCAATTACCTGGGATTTGGCCGGGACTTGATAAGTCCTAGTATATAAAGTTGCCGTATTTCTTTGTAGGAACGGAAATAGATATATTGGACGTTCTGCAAAGAAGTCAGACTGCTGAGAAATAAACTTTGAATTCACACCACAAAAAGTGATTTGCTTGGCTTATCTCCAGAGATCTGATCAGCACAAAACCACAACTGCAAGTGCCAAAAATAGGCAAATGAAGAAAATCAGGAAATCTTTGATGCATTAAGCTTATGAAGGATAATTTCAAGAAAAAAGAGTTTTCCTTCCCGGAGTTTCCTTGCTGATTTTTCTTTGTTTCTTGTTAGAAAGAAAAGTTGAGCTGATTTGGAAAATGCCATTCTACCATTTTTTCTGACCAACCACACTCTAGTGTTGCCAAATGATGGCACTATCCAAGTGAAAAGGGTTTTTTTTATTGTTGAAACTCTGTTGGATCTACAATATTTCAAGAATTCCCAATACATATAAACCAAGTTTGTGAAGCCAGGCCTTGTTAAATACGCTTCTTAAAGCGAGTTTCGTTGAAGAACCCACTCAGAAAAAGGAAGTTATTGCACCTTTTTTGTATGTGCTCTCAAAATAAGCAAATGGGAAAGTTCTTGAGCGGTTGTTTGATGTTTTGAGAGAAACCTTTTCAGAAATCACCACAGAGGAGCTTTAATCCAAACGTGAGCAGACCTTTCCACGCCCCTCAGCTTTATTGAGGGAAAAACTTTTAGAAGGAAGACAAATTCCTCGCAATATAAATGCGATCTGCACGTATAACATTCAAAAACTTTCAGTAAAGTTTAAAAAATTATGAAACCGAACGTATTCCAAAGCGTTTATTGATTCAAAATGCGGGATTTTCCCGAGCATGCAATTTCAAACATGAACAGATGAATGAAGTGAACTTATTTCGCTATATTTAAACATTCCCAAATTTTCGAATAATTCTCAGTTGAAGACAAAGCTTTTTTTTAATGACCGCTTTTGCTTTCGGAAGCATTCGATCTGCACGAAATGTATCGATAAATAATGTTTGAACTTCATCAGCAATAACATTCGAGCAAAAGAATAATTTTTTTACCATCAAAAATTGATTCGGTATCATGAAAAGTAGGATGTCAATTGTAATGTTAGAACAAGCCTTTAACGACTAGAGATACGCACGGAAATGAATGCTTCTGAGTTATGGGTCAGCATAAAATGGTAGAAACAATTTTTTTACTACAGCACATGAGAACCATTACATTTTTAATAATTTGAATACTGCAGGTTGGTCAAAAAATTTAAAAAAAATCTAACTATAATTCTCAACATACAGAATAATCCGCGCCCGGAGCGTTCGTAAAATGTGACTAATGGAATTTGCGTTCTTTCTCTCTCAATACTTCTCAAAAACGGGATGAACCCGATATGAATCATTCTGGGTCTGCTTTTGCATACAAGGGATTTTTCTCCGTAATCTAGGAGAAAGGCTCAATCACGAAAATAATAAAAAAATGTGCATTTTCATTCAGAAAAAGATGCCGGTTCCACGAAAGCACATCGAACTTCCCTTCGATATTATTCCCCAATTTCTGCTCTCTTGACCTCATCTGCAAAACTCTTCTTCCTCGTCATGAGTGCAGATGAAAAGAACGAAATTGTCTTCAGTCTCTTATAATATACACGTGGATATCAGCTCTCTGATGAATGGCTCAAGTGATGGAGACCTATCATAAGGAATTGTTCTCTGTCTCATCTCGCTTTTCTTTTCTTTTTTCTGCCTTTTCTCACCGCTCTTTCTCTACGTCTGTGTCTGTCTGCCTGTCTGTCTGTCTCTCTATTAATCTTGCAGGGATCTCGGTGATCGAGAATGAAAAAGAGCACTTCAGTCGCTGGAGAGAATTCCTTCTGCTCTGTTCCATCCCGTCCTTCCTGGCTTTGTTCGGGCTTCTCTTCATGCCGGAATCTCCGAGGTATTTGCTGGAAGCTGGTCGTGAGGTCGAAGCCATGCTGGTCTATCAGGTGCGATTATTCCTGCCATCTGGCGTCTCATTTGGGAAACAGAGGAGATCCAAAATAGAATATGCGGGTTCCGTCGATGCATTATGGATGATGTTTTCAATAGCAATTTTATGACGAGGAGAATTGAGTCGAAATGAGGCGTTTTCACGTAGAGTAATGTGAAAATTGTTTTCATTGTAGCTGTAGCTGAATTTGAATGTTATTTGAATTTTGCATATGACTTTTGAACGACGAGTGACGAGCTTTCGTTCATTTGGTCTATAGTATTCATTCCAGATGAGTTGATTCGTTGCCTACGGCAGCATTCATCTAGAATCAATCAGTAATTCTTGCAAATAGCGAAATTTTCCCAAAATCCAAGCCAGCATTGCAAAGTGAGGATAAGTTGAATCATCTGCCGAAATATAATTGTCAAAATAGCTTCGAATAAAATATTAGACTTCAGTAGTCTAGATTCTACTGAATTTTCTACTCACAATTTAAACAGTATTCTTATTTCCTCGTATCGAATCATCGAATATCTAATTCGGAAGAGGAACCATAGATTAAGTATTTGGAAATGACCTTCGAATTCGAAGTTTCGAATCAATGCAAAGAACAATATGATAGATTTAGAGGGAAGTTCCTCTGGAAAAAAAAATACTTCGTCGATTGATGATGGGATCTGAAATACAGTAATGTACTATGCAGAAAAAATGCGGAATGAAAAAGGATGGGCAAACCCTTCTCTAACCCTCGAATTCGTTCGGGATATATATATATGTTCTTGGCGTTTGAAGATGGGTCTGGGATTTCGAATGCCACCCTTGACCTGACCCATGATATCTACAGCTTGTCTAACTTGTAAATGGAAGGAAAAAGAATTGGATTCCCATGCAATTTACTCAAGTGCACGCATGAATGGACCCGGTATATCCGAATGAGAACTCGAAGATTTTTTTTATTTCTCCATATTTGGATGCTTTTCCGAATTGCTATCCACGAATTTCGCGGGGAGGGGACGAATTTCAAGATAAATTCGTCTTGTCAATGATGAATGATGTTGCACAGACAGCTTTCCACATGAAATTAGGCTTTTGAATTTTCAGCCCAACTGAGCTTGGCTTCATACTCGCACATTTTTTATACGGTATGAAGATCTTCCAGTTTAATTCGAATATGGTTCGCATTTTATACCGAGAAATTACTTGTATAAGATAAGCTCTAATCTTTTTTGGCTTCGAAGAGATATTTTCCATTGCAAATTAAATATGGTACGACTTTTTCCTGTAGTGTGGGATTTCATTTGTGTTTGAGGTCATGAAAAACCAAATCAGGCTCGTCTTTAGTTTTACGTAGCTGTCAGAGGAACATATTTTTTATTTAAGTAGACTCTGTACACTTGTATACAGAATGCGTACTGTTTTTTAATGGAAAGTTGTAAAATTTGAGCTGTAATGGACTGAAGGAAGTAAAATCGATGATCAATACATAAATCGTAAATGCACAAACCGTTTTACTAGCGATTAAAGCTCGCCATTGTCGTGATTGAAGAATATTGTCGCCATAAATTACGGTATAATTAAATTTCGCCTAAAAAAGGAGAACAAATTTTCTGAAGCCAATTACAATTCATTCTTTTCTACCAGCAGAAGCATTAATGGTCAACGCAAGGATGTTAATGCGGACAGAAAGTATATTAAATCGATGGGTCATAATTTAAAAAAATTATCTACGGAACCCATGAAGTCTTGAAGACCATCTGAAAAAAAATCATCCAGCAATGCTCTTCTTTTCTTCACAGAGAATCTACAAATCGAATCACTCTAATCACCCTGAGGCCAGATATACTCTAAGCGAATTAGAGCTCCCGACAACAAACAACCCGGCTCACAGGAAACAGTCCCGATCCGGAAGCAAGTCACTGCCTGTTCCGGTCGGACGAAATGCCGGGATAATGAGTGATTTCGCTCACAGCATCGAAAACGTACGTTAATTTTCGTAACAAGTGTAAAGAAGAACGCGATTTAACGATCTTATTGTTGTTTTTTTTTACTCGATTCGAGAGCAGTTTTGGAGCTCGTTCATGCAGTTGTTTGCTGGGCCGACGCGCGAAATCACTCTGGTTCTTCTAGTTGTCTGGTTCACGGAATCTTTTGGGTGAGTTTTTCTTTTTCTGATCCAGTGTCAACTTCTTCATTTGAGTAATTTTTCAAGTTTTTGTTGGTGGGAGTTGCAGTTCTCTTTGCCATTAATTCGTTGGAGCATAAGCTCTTCCAAATAAGGCAGATTTGCGGTGGTTCATAAATTTTGACAATGTTTGAAATAGATCCAGAAGAGTTTTGACAATTCCACGTTTTTACTTTTACTTGCACAGCCCCATCATTTGGCAACAATTCAGTGCTGTTCAAAGCCGTCTCTGCAAATTGTAATGCATTTTTTCATGCAATAAATCCATTGATCAAAAAAGTACCCAAACTTGACAATTGCGTTAGTTGATCAAGTTGCTCTTAGACAATTTAAGTGAGGCTGTCACTGTCCTCAAAATACATCCCTTTCAGATTACAGTGGTGCCTTGCCTAACAAACACAATTGGTTCCTTCTCTGCATTTGTTAGGCAAAACATTTGTGAGGTGGGTCAAATTGTCCCTCAAGGATCAATGTAAAACATATTAATTGGTTCCTGAACAACAATAAAAATCCGGCAAAAAACATGAAAATTTTCCCAATAAAAAAAAAGCACAAGGCACAAGTTCCTGCAAATGCTGCCATGGTTCATTCAAATATTTTTCCTCAAGAAATTGCCTTGCTCTCTTTCCAAAATGAGCCAAACAAATGTACCGCTTTTATTTCATGCATAAGTGACATGTATAGGAAGAGTGTAATTATTGAGTATGAATTTAGGATGTTGTTTCTGCATGAGGTATACAAGGTAAATGGAGTCACATCTTGAAAACTACACCTTTTTCAAACCTTTCATCATTAATTATTGACAAAGGAAAGAGTAAAGCCAAGAAAATATAATGATGCATTTTGGAAGAGAGTGGAAGATTAATTTTGCATATAAAAGGTTTCCTCAAAGGTTACCATTGTGTTAATAACTCAAGCAATTTTAGACCTACTATGTTAAAAATTGCAATTTTCTTTCCTTCCCTAAACAAAAATACTGTACTTGAGTAACAGTCATTTTTGTTGAGGGAAAGAAAAAACTGGATTTTACAATTTGTTATTTTTAAAATATAATTTCAAGGGCATGCCATCAAACATTTGCCAGGCAAGTCAGTGTTCGCTTGGCTGGCGCCAAGCCCTGACATTGATTTGAAACAACCTATTGATGGGTATTTTCTTTCAACCAAGCCCTGGACAAATTCCGTGTAGACTTCTACAGGGAATCCTTTAATTTCTTCCAGTATTCCGAGACACTGTGTCTCAGAACACCGAAAATTTTTTTACCATCATCACATGCAACAACAGTTAATTGGCCATTGTTGCATCTTGCAATGGTCAGAAAAAATATCTCTGCTCTGAGATACCTTTGTGCAATGGTGAAACATTCAAATGATTGTCATTGCATGTGAAGAATGGGACAGTGCAAAAACCCTTTCATTTCGAATGACATCAGATGTCAACAATGGTCAAACTGTCTGAAACCGTCAATGATGGTCAAAAATCATTGCGAATTTTCCAAATGTGACAATGGTCAAATGACCATTGTTGCATGTGACAATGGTCAGAAAAATGTATCTGTTCTGAGACAGCATTGTGCAATGTTGTCTCAGGACAGAGACTTAATTCACATGCAACAAAATTCAAATGACTGTTACCCGCAGCACAGATAAGGACAGCACGTGAAGATTCATTATTCGTGACTAAAAAGTTCTTCATTTAAAAACTAATTATTTTAAATCCGTATATTGAGTGCATTGTTTGAGGGATTGTTTACGAGCCTGATATTTCTTCTTTTTTACGTTGTTTGATATGTTTATTTGCCAGTCCCCATCAACAACATTTTTTTTGCAGAAATTTTCAGAATTCAAAGGTGGATTCGTTTATTTTATTTTTTGTTTTTTTGTCCAAATGTTAAAAATCCCTGTAGAAAACAGGACATGAGAATAAGAGGCTCTGATGATTATTCATCCGCATTTACAGGTTCTATGGATTATCCCTTTGGTTTCCCGAATACCTAAAGGCGTTGAAGATGGACGAGTACGACTCGAATGTGAAGTTGGTCGTGGGCGAAACGTACGTGAAACAGGTATTCAATGGGACCCTGGACAACGTCAAATTTGTCAATTCCACATTCACTGATGTCACATTCCACGGAATCGTTTTGAATCATGTCGAGTTCACGGGGTGTTTACTGAATCGCTGCGAGTTCAGCGACGTGGTTTCCTCGCGAACATTCTTCAAAAATTCCACGCTGATCCAGAATCACTTTGCCGACACCGACATGTATCCCTACAGGTGGGTTGAAATCATTTACAGTAGAATCTCGTTACTACGAATACATTTACCACAAAATGTTCAGAAAAGTAAACTTTATTCAAAAAGTTCCTGCAGAAATCCTCTAGGGCATTGTTCTCCAACCCGTGGTCCGCAGACCGGCGCCAGTCTGCAGAAGTTTTTTGCCAGTCCGCAGGAAATTTTCAGCATAATGAATTTTTCAAAAGTTGGGATGGAGTCAGTTCTCTTTACCTAAAATTTCGGAGGGACAATGGCAGTTGAATTATTTGATGGAAACAAAAGTGGGCTTTTTTCCTAATAATGCTTCAGACAATTTTCACACGCTGTAATAAATTATTTTAAATTTGCATCCTAAAAAACCTTTCTCCAAGCCCACCTTTATAATTGTTTGATGACATTCTGAACTGAANTGTATCGATAAGGTTTTTTTTGCGGGAAATTACGCGTGAAAAATTCTCGTGCCAAATAAATTTATAAATATGCTCACCGATTGCAGTTATGAAGATAATGTCGCTTGAAGTTCGATGCCGGTTTTTATTGTTTGCTCAATTATGTCTTTATTATGCTCTTGCTCATAATGTTTTGCTCATTCAAAAATAATTTTTTGTTTTGATACTTGTGCTATAAACGAATTATCAACTTTTTTCAAGAGATACATATTATGCTGGTCTCATACAGTGGCTGTCCCAGTTGGACGTGACCTCTCGTATTTTTGGAGTATGTGTGATTGGAAAAAGAATCATGATATAAGTACCTAATGTTCTGAGGTTTCGGGATTCTTTCGGAGTTTAAAAAGGTTTCTTCACTTTTGTGCATGATAATGAGTGGAAAAAGTCTAGTTACAGCCACAGTTCTCCACTTACGTCAGGGAGCTGACATTTTGGTAAATTAGCTAGAAAATTGAATTTTTTGTTGCTTCAACCGTTATCAAAAGTTAAGAGAAGTTAATGAGAAAAACTAACAAATTTTAATTTTTGCTGGCCTGACAAAATGTAAGCCCCGTATGTGACTTATTGGTTGAAGATCTTTGGCTGTGGCTGTGGAAAGTTTTCGCTGATCGTTATGTAGTAATAAAATGCAGACTTTTTTTTCTCCGCAAATGAGACCAATTATTGATGACCTAATCTCATTTGTTTTTAGCACTAGCTGTATACTGTAACAGATTAGTCGTTCATTTCGGAGATCGTGAGAATATTATAACCAAGCATGGATTTGATTTTGAAGTTGTGCGATTGAATCCCCGAATATAGTATGCGCCAAAGTCTCAATCGGGTTTTCTATTATTTTTGCAGGGCTACTGGTTACGGCTTCCTGAGTGCAGTCTGCCGAATTGCCGGAATACTCGGAAGCTTGACTTTTGGCAACTACATTGGCGTGAGCAGAGCGATTCCGATGCTAACAACAGCTGCTGTGCTTCTCATTGGAGCCATAGCATCGATTCGAATCCCGGAGACAAAAGACATTTTGCTTTGAAAGGAAAGTTCGGGAAATTTTCGACGAAAAGAAGCAGAAAAGGGTTGCGGAAAAAAGCTGAAAAAGTTTTTTTTTACTATTCGAATCCAGACCCATTGTGTTCACCCAATGTCATAAACGGAGAACGAAGTATTCGGGAGAGAAATCGAAGGGAAAAAAATCGAAATATTCGCAAAATATTATATGCGCATTTTAAAGGCTTTTGCTGGACGGAAAAGAAAAAATGACGTCGTGAAGAATCATTCCCGCGGACGAACGAACTCGGATCAAGTGTATTGCTATTTGTGAGATTTTCAAGCAAGAATTGGTTGTTGGTGACCAGAAAATCTGGAACTTTTCTAATCAAAAGAAAAAGACGAGGGAAAACTCATTATTGGGATGAATCGGTGTTTGAATGCCTTTTTTGTAGTCATGAACTGAAGAATGAATGATTTTACCCCGGAAATCTCCCCCGAAAAAAGAAGTACAGTATACCCAAAACATTTTTGCAGGTTTTTGTTTGTTATGTCATAGCAGTGTTAGCTTTAATATGCAATGCAATATGTGGCATTGCTTGCTGCTAAGTGTCGGTCTGAAGAAAAAAATGCGTCTTTTGGGAGCAAAAAGATTGAACATGACTTTTGATTTTCCTCCTTTAAAAAATGCCCAAATTTAAATATATTTCAGAATGCATTGCGCAGATGGACCTCGGATATTCAAAGAACATGGATATGTCGGAATGAATAAGACTCGAATCACTTCTCTTATTCGTCCATTGCAGTACAGTACGTATTTGAATTATTGAGCTGCAGGTTGAATGTTCGAAAACTTGATAATTATAAAAAATATTAAATATAAATACAGTGACCATTCACGTCTGGCTCCTGCGTTAAATTCACTGGAACTTCGTGGGATACCTCGTTTTTGGCGAAAAAAAATTTTAATCATGAAATTATCGGAGAAACTTTTCTGATTGATTTTGAACCTTGCAGAACAAAAAATCCGGCATTACTGCAATACGAGATGTTTAAATAAGGGGGGAAAGTGATAGGATAAAAATTGAAAAACATCATCCAGAGCGCATCTTACTTAATTTTTTTTATAATCAAGGATGAACTTTCATAACTTCCGGCGATTCACTCTCTCTTCAGATCGTAAGAGATTCACAAATTAGTTTGATCTTTCGACAGTAATTCAATGAAAACATCAATCATTGCAAGTGTTTGCAAAAGATAGAATACAGTCATTTTCGCGAAGAATTGAAATAATTGAAAAAAATTGGCAACTGAGACCATCAGAAGGATTACACTGTATATGAAACTGTGGACAAAAATAATCAAGAATTCCCTTGCTCATCCGTAAAATTATTTTGACAAGATCTTGACAATTAATTCAGTCCACGTTTTTTTCATCTGCGTGTGTGTTTTTTTTTTTTTAAATAGCCTTATTGCGCAGTAAAATGAACTCACCTGCTGACTTGAAGACTGTTTTCGTCAGTGTCAGTCTCAACGCTAATCAAAGAACTAGAAAAGCACAAAAAGAATGTTGAAATTCTCCCCAATATCATTCCTGATGTTTCAACATTTACGAAATTTCTTTTTCGCGGACTTCGTGATTGAAAACAGGAAAGACATTGATTTTGAGTGACTGAATGAAGTTTATACCAACAATCACCAGAAGTCATCATGCTCAACTCTGTTTTTCTGACGTGAACTCACAATACGTGGGTCTGAAGAAATTTGAATACCTTTTCCAACTGGTTTATGTCTTTACAAATCTGCAATCCGTCCTCACCCGAAATCGCACTGATATACTGTATTCTCAAAAAGAAAACCTTCAGCAGTGATTTTCTTTGCGAAAAACATGACCGAAATTGCTGACTTCCTCAATACAGCAAATGAGCGATAACCGATGAACAAACATCGTACTTTATATAAGCAAATATCAAAGCCATGAGAAAAGTCCTGGCTTTTGTGGAAGATACGACTTTGACGACCATTTCGACCCTGATATCATCGAATTCATGAAAAAAGTCGACTCAGTGTTTGCCCAAGACAAGCTACAACAGGTGTCTTAATTTTTAAACAAGTCCTATACCAGAGCAGTTGAAAATATAACACGAACACACGTTGAAAGGGATTAGATGTATTTCTGATGTTGATTCGACGTTCTTCTGATGTCTGCTGTTACAATATATGTTGAATTATTTTATTCAATATACCAATGTTTGCCTGAATTGGTATATTCTTGTGTATGTATGTTTTTGACCTGCTGAACCGAATTTCGATTTTTTTTAATGACAACTGTGTGCGTGCGTCTTATTCTAGTATAAATTTTTTCCCCAAATTTCTCCGTGTAAAACCTAGTGTGGATCTTCCTCAATTGAGAGCGCGTGGTACTCAAGTATAAGTAATCCAAAGCGAAGGGTCAAAAAAGTTATTCTCAATATATATGAGTACGAAAGAATCATCATCTGCTGAATATATCGAGCTTATTCTTGAAAACACGAACGCCCCCTTTTTTTTTATTCCGTTGGTACTCGTATATACTTTGTATGGCCGAGAAATGATGTCAGGCATCATCATGAGACTCCAAAATATATTCAAGTAGTCTTCTGCTCAAGAAGTTCGGGTACATTCGCAAAGCACGGCGATTACCGATCAATAAATTGTCATTCCACGACCTTGAATAGAGAGGTAACT